TTGTATTTCCCGAAAAGCCACATATATCAGCCCCTACCATCGGTATACCAAAAAGTCCAAAGTTCAAGATGCTCGGTATCGTGTATGCCAGGTCATTCCAGGTGGCAGCATTATCTCCGGTCCAGTGTGCTGTGTACTTGCCAGAACCCACAAAAGTGGACCTACTCAGCACAAACGGCCTTTTACCAGTCACGTTAGTTAGGGCAGCATGAGTAGCTCTGGATTCTAAAAAACCGTAGAGATTGTGAACGTCATATTCAGTGACGTTACTAAAGTGCAGTGCAGTTGCTGGCACTGTTTTCTCGTTGATCGGGCGTAGATAACCCGAGTTGTTGATCTTATAAGGAGGATTATCGATGGTCGAAGATGGATTTGACGGTGAGGAAATGAAATTGGATAACTCGTTCATGTCGATCCAGAGTCCGTCGATGGGGAGGATTTTGTGAAATAATTTGATCTCGTTCGTCCAAAACGTTTCACTATCTGGGTTTAGAAAATCGGGGAAGTAAGTTAATCCGGGCCAAACTTGGCCAAGATAAGGGACCCCATCACGTTTTATGAAGATTTTGGCTTGCATTCCCCTTACGTAGGTCGGATATGTTTCGTTCACACCGATTCCTGTAGTTTTAAGAAGCTATTCCAAATAAGATAATGCCAATAACGAGGAGTTGGAACTTGTGATTTGTACCTTGGTGAGATTTATGTTGTTTGCGACCTAAATTTAACCAATGTACAGCTCTAAGCAGAGACTAACCAATCAAATGGATGTGATACAGGTTTTCTACTATATGCTTGATGTATATGATGTGTGTTAGAAAGATTATTATCAATTGATAAACCTCATGTGCTGCACAAGGTGTTAAACTAATGTAATTAAAAACATGGGTGTCATATTCTAAGAAGTATTTGAAAACTTCAACTGAAAACTTTTATATTTGCTTTTAAAAGTTTTTATGCATACATTTCTTAATTCAACAACTGCATATCACATGAACCTTGAACTAGTAATTTTTATATTACAAATCATCAGTTTTATGGTGCATTATTGTGTTGCAATATCATTTAGAGCTCCAATCAGAAACAATAAAACTTATTTATTCAACACGACGAGCTTACCGGGATCTACGATGACAACGTATTTCTGACCATTCTTATGAAGTGAGTCGACAAAATTCTTCATCTGATCTGCTGGAAAATTGATGGGGTCTAAGGTGAAGTCTTTGTAAGCATCCATGTAATCAATATCAGTCCACATAACTTCTAAAGGAATTCTTGCTTTCGCATAACCAGCAACCACGTTCTCAAGATCATTTACATCTTTGTAACCATAGCGACACTGATGAAAGCCTACAAACAAAGGGAACCGAAAATATTACAAAAAAAAAAGAAAGAAATTCTACGGTGATTGTTTTGTAGAAGAACCTCAAGTCAAGATACAAATCAAATTTAGGTGCACTCATTAACAATCTAGATTCATCACTCTGAATATACTGAACGAACCAAAAAAATTAATATCAGCGTAAGCATATCATAAAACTCAAGTCAGACATGGAACCACATTAAATTTAAAACTAAGCATGTTAATTCAGCTTCTTCATTGCTGCATTTCTACTTTCAAGAGGCATCTGCAGATAAGTTTCTCTTCAAACACCAACTTCAAAATTCAAATCGTCAGCATATTGTTTCATTTCCTCAAGGTTCTCTCTGATTTAGCATATTCCTCAGATGCTGCTACATATAAACATTAAACTCCAATTCAGAAACATTTTTATCAAATAAAACGCTACATTGGTCCTCCATTAATAGGTCTGAGCCATTATTAATAGATCATTCCTTTCCTTCTGAACTAAAGTAAGATATAAGACAATCAAACAAAAGTGTCCAATTCAAATATGATGAAGACATAGGTAATTCTCGGACTGCAAGTATAAGCATCAGGAAGCCAATTTAATCACTTCTCTTCATTATCTCAAAACATATAATAATATTAACAACATTATCCTACTTACCAAACGACCAATAAGGCATAGGCGCCGGCCGGCCAATGAGGCCCGTGTACTGCTCCATGACCAGCTCCGGCGTGGGCCCGGCAAAGAAATACAGGTCAAGCATTCCACCGATCACCTTGTATGTAATCCGATCCCCTGCATACAGAACATCCATCCCATTGCTATTGAGCAGCAGGACCCCATGAGCCAGGCCACCCGGAGATCGGAGATCCATGTAGAAAGGGTGGGACCCATACAGGTTGATATCCACGGCGGCGCTGGCGATGTCGGCGTTCCAGAGAGTGAGTGTCTGGTTGTGCTGCAGCCTGAAGGTGCCTTTCGTGTGCTCCCCGACGCCGTAGAGGTAGGAGGTCCGCGGCGGCAGAGAGGAAAAGAGCTGGAGGTACTGATCCTTGAATATGAGGTAGGTGGAGGCATCGCGGCCGAGGGGCGTGGTGTCGAATAGAGTTTCGCCGGAGGAGCGGCGGCGGACGGTGAATCCGAACGGCGTGGTGTTGTAGAGGGCGAAGCTAAGGTCTGAGCTCGGGGGAGAGATCTGCGGCGGAGATGGGTTGAGGAAGGAGGAGCGGAGGCGGCGGCGGCGGGGGAGAATGTTGTCGGGGATTTCCCAGCGCCGCTTGTTGGCGTCGGTGATTCGGATTCGCAGACGGTCGTTTGTTTCCAATCTGGAAATGCGAATCACGAAGTGTTAGAATATTGGACGCCGTTATTATTCTGCGCACGCCGTTAGCTTCCTATCGATAATGCTTTTTACCTATTTTTTTTAGCGCGCTTATATAAAATTCTCCAATATATAATTTTCGAATATGATGAGTAGCAGAATTGCATGTTCGGGATATTAAATGTCAAAATTTCATGTTTTATTATTTGGCTTGAATAAATTTTAATTTAATTCCATTCCAAAAATAATTAAGTTCGAATTAACATAAATATGTTGATTTATTTATGATCATTTTAGATGTATTAACTGTATTTTAATATCATTTCCTATTATAACTGTAAGAAACTGGGGGAAAATGGGTGCGGTCCTACTAACATGAAACACACCAAAAGCAGGGAAAATCACATATGAAGCTCAAATGAGGTTCCATCCCAAAACCAATTGGTGGAAGAAGGAGTAGTCCATTAGACTTATAAGGTGGGTCTATTTTCCATGTATGATGATGTGAGACAACTCACAAGTGATATTCTAACACGCCCCCTCACTTGTGAGTCATTCGGAAGCCCAAACCCAACTGGGTTGGGTGCCCCAAGCCTAGTAGAAGCAGACTCCCATAAACGGGTACGTGGGGAAGCAGATTCCCATAAACGGGTACGTGGGGAAGCAGACTCCCATAAACGGGTACGTGAGGAAGCAGACTCCCATAAACGGGTGCAAAAAGCTCAAGCACAATTGGGTGCCCCAAGCCTACTAGAAGTAGACTCCCATAAACGGGTATGTGAGGAAGCAGACTCCCATAAACGGATGTGAGAAGCCAGTTGGGATGGAACCCCACTTGGGCTTCATACGGGTTTTCCCTCTCATGGTGCGCTTCATGTTAGTGGGACCGCACCCGTTTTTTCCCCAATTTCTTACATGGTATCAGAGCCGGTTCTATTGGGACCGTGCGATGACGTACCCGTTTATTGGAGTCTGCTTCCCCACGTACCCGTTTATGGGAGTCTACTTCTAGTAGGCTTGGGGCACCCAGTTGAGCTTGAGCTTCTGAAGGAGTTTTTCCCCCAGTTTCTTACAATAACAATTGAATTGTAAATGTATTTTAAAAGTTAATAACTTTTGTATTTCTTATCGGTTTTACATATATAATTTATCAAATTAATCATATTTTGATGAGCTTCGATTTGATATCCATATTGTATATATAAAATAAATAAATTATATTTATCTTTATAAAAATAATAATAAAATTATTTATTAAAACTAATTAGAAAAATAAAATTATTTATATTTAATGTAGTTATGTGTTATAAGTTAAAAAAAAATATTATAATATAACAATGCTAAGTCGCA